GGTCAATTATTGAGAGAAACAGAAAACATTATTTTGTGAATACGGTATAAAGATGATAGTTGATGTAGCAAGCAATGATATAACATTCTCCTAAGCAAGATGCTAAAACGTCATGTGAGAAGAGAACTCAGGAACATGATTTTCATACAACTGATAAGTCGTTCAGCACCAAAACAGAGGTTTTTAGAGGTATGGTCAGTAGCTCAGTTCAGCACCAAAACACAAATTTAACGAGTACAACCTCAATCATAAACAGATAAATTGTTTCCCAAACTAAAATCTAGGTGCATGCATTGCAGTGAGCTGAAACACAACTGAAGCCAGCCAAGATTGTTTATAATAAGATTTTCTTCTCGCAATCATAGGCGACTAATGACTGCCTCCACCTCAGCAGGTGTATAGAGATGGTATGTTGGAGCTACCTTTGCAATATCAACATTGTTTGGAGTCACCTGAAATCAGTTACATTCCAGTATGTACTTAAATGAAACTCACTCTTGACGGTACAGTAACAAGTAATTGCATTATATTGTAATAGTATTTTTTTACCTTTTCTTCCATAACTTGCTTCAGAATGGATAGAGCAATTGTCTCGGCTTCCTGAAGAGTAAGTTCCTGCAAAACATGATCAAATGAAATTTATCACCAATGTACAATAGAAAGCTATCAAATTTGTGATCTCAGCATAGAAGGTAAACTTTCCTGTCATGTTTACTAACAAGATCAAAATATAAATAATGACAAGGCTACTATATTAGAATTTTAAACTAATAAAATTATAAGGGAACATAGTCATTTACTCTTCCCATGGAAAAAAAGGTAGTAATTCACACAGACACACCAACACACACACTGATAAGATAGAGACCTTGTTAAATTGTTCTTGTAGAGAACTGTCGGCTCCTTCTGAACCTGAACCAATAGCTTTTGCATTGCATTGCCAGAATGTGCCAGATGGATCAGTATAGAACCTGCATCAAGCAAGTATTTTATGGGTCAAGAACCAGTAAAACACCAAGGTATACATGTCAGGACAATAGCAAAAAATTATTAACAAGTAAAGAAACACCGAAAAGCAAAATCATCTCCAATGGAAAACTGAAATGCAGGTTTACTAGGATCTGTAACTAAAGTTCCTGCTTATACATTAGCCAGGATGAAAATGTAGATGAACAAACTCAGAATTCGGTATCTTTGTTTTAGACAAATTGAATTAAAAATTACAACTGTGTACCAGCCTGGGAACAAATGATAGGGATAATTGGATCATTGAGATTGGATAACAGCAAAACATAAACATCACAAGACAACATAAGTGCCAACGAAGTTAGGTACTTCATGAGTCGTAGTCTAGGTCATTTGGAGTTCTCATAATCGGCTTTTATTGGTTATTGTTATAGTTCTAAATTGAAATACTATAGAACTAAGAATTAGGTACTAAATGAACATGTGTACATAATGACCGAAGTTAAATCGGGTTGTACTAATACAAGGATCATAGTACTCACAAGAATATGCACATCCATAGGGATGTTAACCAATTATCTCCATGATATCACGTTCTTGTTATACATTTAAAAAGCAATACAGTCTGAACATCTAAGGCAAACTAATACTTACAAGCTGGGCCCATTCTCATCATGACCAGCAATAAGAAGAGATACTCCAAATGGACGAGACTGCACAGGAGAAAAATTACCATACATCAAAAGGCATTAAAGAAACACATATAACTATCACTAATAAGATAAGGTAAAAATGCATGTGAACCAAGCAAACCACCACTGTATAAAAACTTGTTTTCTCAATTTCTCAACAATAAAAGTAAAATATCTAGCAGGAAAAATAAAAAAGAAAATAACTCCAATTAAGAGTTAAAAAAGTAAGTGAATATTACCATGGATTCTTCATCACCTTCACCAAAACGTAGTGCCAGATCACAAAGTGCTTGAGTTGTAGATTCCACAGTCATGGGCTCACCGTATGAAAATCTATGGTTCTGTAAAAAGGAATTTAATATATTAGTTGAAGGGCTAAGTGCCACAAAACATCAAAATATACCAACTACCAGAGTGTACAGTCATGATTGTTTGGTAAGAATACAGGCATCAGAAACCAATGAAAGTACCTGAGTTTCCACTCGTGCATGCTCAACAAGGGTACGAGCATCAGCAATCAATCCACTCATAGCACATCCTATATGGTTATCTATTTCCATGATTTTCTCAACACTGCTAGGTTCCTGCAAAAAATATATAAAATAGATAATGCCTCAACGAAGTTGCAATCCAATAATTGCAAACATTGGCAAATGCTACCACATCAATGAAAAGAATAAACTCCAATTCACAAAGCATAATAATGGTCTTGCAACCTGTTAACCTATTCCTGAGTGCCATATTACAGAAGCATATCTTTCATACTTTTCATTATATTAGATTTTCAGTGGTCTTGAATTCTTAATGGATACGCTGTAATCTGATATGAAAAACAGTAAATACAAATACCACTTATCTTATTCGATATGGTTTCTTTCAATGATTAAAAAATCCTCATCTCAAAACAGAATAATATGTCAAAATGCATGCAGTACGATCATACATGATATTGCTAAGACAATGGATAACTAAAAGCAGCCATGCATATAGCTTCCACAATATGCCAAATCCCAATCCAACCAAGATGTACAACAGAACATATGCATACAAATATGTTTCATTTACCATGAAGAAACCTAAAGCTACATAATTGTGCTCTTTTTCTACCAATACTAGCATGTTTAGATCAGAATACTGATGATTTTTGTTTAAAAAAAGGTTTATTTAACCCTTCAAAATGAAGATTGACAACTTATTCTAATCTTTGTACAAATCACATACAAAAAAGAGAAGCTAAATAACCATTTCCACTCATATTATACATGGTCTAATATGTATCAACAATGCAATGGAAAACGGGTAACACTAATGACAAATTAACATCAACTTATCACAATTCAAACTGAAAAAACATAAGTGAGACAACATAGCAACAAGAAATCCTATGAGGAACAAAAAGAATAAAACAGACCAGTAGTGGTGAAGTGATCCGTTTCTCAACAGCAAGCACAACCCCTTCTTTCGTCTTCAACCCAATTGCAGTTGAACCCAGCTACATTGTTCAATCAAAACCCATAGACATTCCAATCAAAACTTTAATATATTGAAAACAGCGAAAGTAGAAAAGGTGAATACTAAGCACATGGGCACACGTAATTCAGCTTCTGATTACTATTATGCTGAAAATACACCCAAAAAAGATTTTAAAAAAAAATCCCATAAAAACTGAAACTTTCTAGATAAACAATCAGAGAAAGAAAAACCAATATATTTTCAACCAATAATTAGAACAAAAAAGAAAAAGGGAACTTTAGTTCACCTTGATGGCCTCAATAGCATATTCGACTTGAAACAACCTGCCTTCTGGAGAGAAAGTGTTCACTCCTCTATCATACTCAGTCCTACAAATATTTCAACAGTTTCCACACTATCAGTTATCTATCAAAAAAAAAACCCAATTGAAAAAGAAATTTTAAGAATAATAGAAAAACCCCAGAAGAATTACCTTGTAAGGAACATCTTCTACCCTTTGATTGGATCTGGAAACGTTGAACCTGCACGAGAGACACACAGAAACCTTTAGATTAACGCGAGCTCTTAAGTTATGTAAAGTCCACAAAACTGAAAACCCATAAAATTAATCAGCAAAGAAGTTTGGAATTACTTGAGTTGAGTTGAATGAGAGTGAGAGTCTGAGATGGAGAGACGGCTCTTTTGAGCTTTTTTTGTAGAGATCTTCTTGAGGGACAAGTTAAGGATCGAAACGTTTCTTAAGGCTCTGTATATGTTTCTCGAGAAACGATGCGGTTTCTATATGATGGGCTTGGGTTTTTCAGCTTGAGCTATGGGCTTATATTTTGATATCAGCCCAATTGAAGCATGTCATGCTCTTTCTCTCATTTTTTGGGCTTTACTAGATGCCCCCACCTAGTCTTTACCCTGCCCCTTTATTTTGTACTCTTTCTAAAGGTGTTTAGAATAGGTTGAAGGGCTTTATCATTTGGAAAGATCATGTCCTTGCGACCCATTGGTGAAGGCGGCAAAGACTCTTAAATATATTATTCAAGAGATCTTGAGTTGACTCGAACATCTTAGATTACCTTATTTGAGTTGGGATTAGTGTCATTAAATCAAATATCAAATTTACGCTTGAGCTCATACTTACCCTGTACTATCTTTTCAATAAACTAGTAGTTTAGTTTCTTTCACATGATTATCTTTATGTGTGCTTTTTTATATAAATGCTGATATAGTTTGGTTCTTCTCATGCAACTTTAAATGAAAAGAACAAAGTACTTATATGTAGAGACAAGAAATAAGCTGTAAAATCTAATTGAAAACATGCATGCATGCATGCATGCTTTATAAAGACTTGATCAATATGTGTACACAATATCTTCAAACGTAGATACTATGGCAGATTGGCAGTGCATACTTCCCCAATTAAAAAGAGATACCAAATTAATGGTTTCCAAAATCCAACACCCTCTGCAACATTTACTGCTCAGGCCAATGCAGAAACTTTAGTGAAAGCTTTTGTCTCTTCTGATAAACAGTGTCTCGGGTCCTAGCCATAATTATGGAAATTATAACCAGCTTTTGCTTGCATGTGTATATAAAAGGGTTGTTTTGCCACTTTTCAACCCTGCAAGGAAAAAAGTTACTTTTACATTGATCTTTATGAAGATTTGCATGACCTTTTGGATAATGGTTTTCTTTTAAATTTCTTCTCGAAAAATCCTTCTATCTCAACTTAGTTTCAGTGAAATTTAATATGTATCCTTCTTCAATTATATAACTTTTTTTGTTATATGCATAGGAGAATTGAATGAAAAGGTTTCCAAAGATGAATGGTACTGCTGAAGATTAAGAGGATGACAAGGACAAAGGCTGAAACAAGTTCCCATGTGGCTTTAATATTGGCTCTCAGGTCCACTGCAAGGGCAATAATCAGAAAATCACAAAGCTGCTGGGCCAGCCAATGCACAGTAGCTAGGCTCAACTTTTGTCAGATGAGTTTCTTGTAGTTGTAGGTTTGTCTGCAGGAAAAAAATTCTCAAGATAAAGCCAAATCATATAAATGCTACTGCATTGTGCCACTACAACCCATATAACACATTGGCAATGGCATGGACCTACTCTTGTTTGCTTCGCAGTGAAATATACTAATGGGATTTCTTTGTAGAAGTAAATTAAGTCACATAATGAAGATTTTTATCTATCCATCTATTGTTTCTTGCTCAGTGATAGTTATTGCAAGGGAAGCAGCCACAAGAGCTGTGCCCAGAAATATGGTCATTATGTCTGATCTTCTGTGCTTGTTCTGTGGCCTTTTGAATTTGCTGTGTGTGTTGTTGCTGGGCTGCTGCTCGCCATTCCTCCGCTTTTCTGTGAACAATGGCCATTCTCTTCATCAACTTCTCTTCAAGGTTTGATCTCATCTTTTGTATTTTAACCTAAGAAAATCAGTTAAAGAAGCATTTTCAATCGAAGATTTTGCGTATAAGAATCGAACAACAAAATATCCAGTCAAAGCAACTATAACATCCTAAAGAAATGGGACTGCATGTTATTTCTGTTTATTTAATAGATATATAGTGTGTTGTACTAAACAAACTGATAGGCCACCATGTACGTGGGGAATGCTAGAGGAGAAAAGTATATAATGTGGACATTTTTTTATTCGAGGAACTAAAAACTAGGCTACCAAGCATGAGATACTTAAGTTCAAGTAAATATTCCAATTCCCCATTCAATTTTCAATGCTAGAACTTCACATGGGTTTACAAGTTACAACAAACACCATGGACTTAAATAAATATAAATGTGATGACTTCTAGCTTTGCTGTTCTTTATTTTATGAGTGAAGCATTTACATAAAAGAACATATGGAAATGAGGAAGACACCCCAACAGAGGTGGACCAGTCAAAAATACAAAAGGCAAATGGTGTCCAACTGCAGCGGGTGGCTCGAGGATGACTAAACCAACAACGAACAATAAACCCGACAAATCCTTTGTACCATATCAACATTATATTTTGTGTTTAAGGCTAAATTATACTTATCTTCACATTTCAATATCAGAATATGGCTTTGCCACTTGACTTAACACCAATCCCAATCTTTTGATATCTCACTCATATATTTTGGACACCACCAGCGAATGGTTGTTTTCGCGACAATTTTCTTATATTTCTGTGGCAGTTCGGGAAACATGGAGAGGGGAAAACTAGTGCAAAGGCCATTTAGAATTCATGACAACAGGCAAAGACAATTGAAGTTCACTTCTACATGTAAAAATAAAAAGTTAAATGACAAAAGGATGAAAGTATGCATACCTCAAGTTTTTTTGATTGAGCTTCTGCTTTTGCACTTTGAAGGTTCACCCAAGCTTGAATTTTTGCTTCTTCTCTCTGATACCTGCAACTCAAATCACAATTCTTAACAATCAACATACTAGCAACCCAGAAGAATGCCCCACAATTTATACAAACTTACTACCTGAGGCAGCACTTGGTCTTTTCTTCTTCTTCATAAGCAGCAGCTCTGGAGTCTGAAACACTTTTCCAGCATCCAGTGCTGGTTTCAAAATGCCTTAAGCTCTTTGATATTTCTTCTTCCTCCTCTTCCCTTGAGCTCCAATTTGATGTTACCGAATCATATTGTGTCCCAAGTTGTAGCTTAGCCAAATGACACTCCTGCAGCTGGGAAATGTCAATGGTGCTACTGGTACTGTCCAAATGTCCTAAAGTCAATGGGCCTGACCTATTGGCAGGAGTGTTATGTCGCGCAGGTGATGAGCTTTTGAATGGTGTGTGGCATCTAGAAACCGTGGAACTGCCTAATGGTGTCATCTCTGTTCCAATATCCCTGTGTTGAATCACTTCTGTGCCTGCATCTTTCATGGTTTCATTGTTAGAGTTTCTAAATAGAAACCCTTCTTTTGATGGCTCTGAGTATCTGATATTTGGTAAAATCAGTTCTACCTCGTCCGTGAACTTATCTACATTCATTAACAAACCTCATATAACTCTTGCTCAAGACAAACTATAATCCACCTCAAATGAGGAAAAGAATTGAGAATGAAACAGTGGTGATCTTATATAATACTCATCTGAAACTGTTACTAATATAGAAAATTATCTGAGAGAAGTAAATCAACACAGAAATGATCCTAGCATAATTTTCTAGCTTATTTAAGGGTCTCCACATGGGTACCAGACAAATCTTATCTTAAATTATAATGCAACTAAATTTAGTCTAAACTAGAAATATCTTATCCACATTGTACTATGTATTTTGCTGCAAGAAAACCCAGCTCCAAACAAGGAGCATAATCAAATAGTAGAGCAGCAGTTTGAAGCTCTCTGAAGTTTTAAAAAGACAAAAGAGAAAAAAGTCCAAGATTAAAAGAGGTAGAGCTAAAGCCTAAAAGGGACCATTTGTAGTTGAAAAGTAAAGCCAAAGGGATCAATTAGTTCAACTAAAGTTGAAGAGAAAATAAATCCTACCTTTTAGAAGGACATCAGTTGAACCTGAGACCCCATTAAAAGCCCTGACTGAATTAGGGTGGTCCAAACACACAGAGCCTTGAAAGCTTGAAGCAAACTTTGATACCTTTTCTTCTGTAACCCTGGATTTCTCAGAGAAAACCTCCATTTGTTGCTTAAAGATTTCACCTTGTTTGTGGTTCTTGGAAGATTCTGGTATTGGCTTCATTGTATGAGCCGGAGACTCATGGCAAGAACTACTATTCAACCATTTTTCTGCATCATCCCACTTGGAAGGAACACTCTTTCTTGAAAAATTGCCAACATTGAAGCTGAAAACAGGCCTACCAGGAGTAGAAGGAGCTTCCATTCTCCTTTGTGTGACTGAGTTCACACCCTCTCTCCTCCTCTGAGCTGAAATGTTATTGTTTACAGCCACAGGAAATGACTTGACAAACTCAGAAGTTTCTTTGAGATTAAGCTTACAAAGAGGGTCAGGGAAAGAATCAACAAAAGGGTTGTCCTTGTTTTTCCCATAGAATCCATTGTTGCTCTCCAATCCAGGTTCCTAAAACACAAAGAAACAGAAATATGAAAACAAACTTGGTGCAATGAAACAAAAACAAAAACAAAATGCAGAATGATTACCCCAGTAGATGGAAATATAGGTGAGGGTTGAAAGAATTTAGGACTTGAGAGATCCATGGATTGAGTTGAAAATGAAAGAAATTATTTTTTGCTTTTGCTTTTGTTTTTGTTATACTGAAGTTCGTTGGTGAAGTCACAACTCACAAGACAAGTGGTTTGGCCATCTGCATCAAAATTGAAATAAAACACTGTGACATGAGAAAGTGACTGGGAAGGCAGTTGAACAGTAGTACCATACAAGGAAAAAGATTTGACTGATGACTACAAGGAGCCATGGTTGAAGACACTGTTACACATGGGATATTAGTTATTACCCCTTTCAAAATCAAATAACGCAGGGCTTATGGCATATGAGTCTCCCTACTCTCGCACAACCAGACAAAAATGTACTTCATAAAAAGAAGAGGGGCAGCTTTGGTCGATTAAAAAGAGCGCTCATGAGTCTTGTCTTAATATTATAGAAATGATAAAATGAATTCAACTTTTTTATTTTATTTTTTTATTGTTTTTGAGAAGCTTCTTAATCCTTATTGGCTTTGATCCCCTCTATGTGTTTGTACTTCTTTGACTCATGAGGTGTAAGCGTTTCATTCCAGGTAGGCACCAACACCAAATCTCTATGCTAATCTTCAGAATAATATAGGGTGTTTGTCTAAGCTTATAAGCTGGTCAAACTAATTTATAAGCTCTAAAATTAAGTTGACCCGTTTGTTTATAACTTTTTTGAGCTTATAAGTTGAGCTTATAAGCCAAAAAAAATAAGTTGGGGGGGAGGTACTTTTTTCTTTTGGCTTATAAGCACTCTGCTTATAAGCTAGTTTGACCAAGTATATTACCACATTATCCTTGTTTAATTTTAAAATTCCATAGTATACCCTTATTTAATGTAGTATCCTTTTTAGTCATTTTATAATAAAATGTACTTATAAGTCACATTTTACCAAACACGTCAACTACTTATCAGTAACTTATAAGTACTTTAACCAAACACGTAATTGCTTAAAATTTCAAATGCTTATAAGCTAAAATTGGCTTATAAGTACTTGTTGCTTATAAGCTAATTTTCATAAGCTCAGACAAACACCCCCTATATTCATTACACCTACTCAACCCTTGAGTTTAAAGAGCTAAAAACAAGAACAAAAACAAATGTAATTTAAGTCTTCCATAATATAGACGTTCATCCAATCACACGACATCTCGTAATGCATGTTTTTATTCTTATAGAGAGAAGTGTTTTCACATTTTCTTACTGAAAATGGAGGAGAGGAGGAAATATTCCTCTTTATTAGGTGATTTTATATCATATATAATGATATATTGGACTATACAATTCAAGAAATACTTTTATGTTTGTGATGGTCCGTGTGCATATCACTAATAAAAGAACTTATCCAAAGCAACCATAGTTGAATGAGTGCATATACATCTGTGACTGTCAGTATTAAAAACTTTTCATTTATAAAAAGGAAAAACTCAAAATGAGTTATGAATGTCTGTTAAACTTTGGGATTATGTTTCAGGCCTGTTTGCTTCAATAAGATCAAAAGTTTTGATAAACATTGGACTAGAGACTGATAACTGATAAGAACTTGGTTTTATATTAGCAATAAGGTTGGGCCAGGGCTTAGCAATGAATCTGGGTCCAAAATGGGTTTCTAGGTCTAAGCCCAAATGAAAATCTTGTTTAGTGTGTGTTTGCTTCTGCCTCCAGCCATACATAATGCTTTAGGAATTGCAGACCACTTAAAAGGCTATTGATAATAATTTGATTACGATCTCTTATCAAATAAAATAATGGTTTTTATGTTTATGCTGGCATCAGCTAAGCTTGAAAATGTCACACACATTGGGTTGTCTCTAAGAGCCACACAGTTATTATATTCTAATGCCGACTGCTTCTTTAATAAATGTTTTATCAGCAATAATTACATTTTTACATTATGAAGTTACATTAAATTAGTAATGAAAGATCAAAAGTCATAAGTCATCTTACATGAATGACAAAATATATGCATAAACCATGGCCGTTTTCATGGACCCTTTCATCAAGTGAGATGCAATTCTGCAGATTTAATATTGACTCCAGCTCTAATATAAAAATTATTTATCTTTAAACAGAACTGACAGTGATTGATAAGAAATTGGAAACTCTTCCATAAATGGTTACATGTTGCTTCTGAAAAGAAAAGTGTATTTGATGCAAATAACATTAAATTTTAGATCAATAATAGGAGTGAAAACTAGGAATATATGAAGAACTATGCTGCAACTTACACCAAAAAAGTAATGAAAGATGAAGGCTAGCCTTATTGGTGAAAATGAAACGGTGAATAGACCCACCAGCCAATAGAAAAAAACAGAAAAAGTAACAAAAAAACAAGAATATGACTGAAAGTTTGGCCGAAGCAACAGGTAGAAGATAAGCAAAATGGGGTCCATTGAACTATTTTTACCTATATTATGCACTATGATTAGACATTGGCTATCAATAATTGAATTTTATATCCATTTCAACTCATAGAACTTGTAACCAATTTATTATACTACTGCTATAGTGCTATCTAATAACACAACCACCACTCTTAACAACAAACAAATTTCTTCTTCTTCTTGTTATTCTTCTGGTTGTTGTTGTTGTTGTTGTAGAATGAGATCAATGGCTATTACAGGCTATTCTTCAACATATATTCTTGTTCAAAGTCCTGGTTCTGTTTTAAGGCCTGCAAGAAAGACTTTTATGCTTAAACAAAGTCAAGTTCCAATCTTGAAAACACCTGCACTTAAGATCAGATCATCCTTCAAAACCAAGGTCAACATCTAATCTCTTTTTTATTCTCTTCTTGCTAATATTTCAACACCCTTTTGCTTTTCATTTTTGCTTAACAGTATTGCAAAGAGTTGTTACAAGTCAACACAACCCTGTTGGATCAAGATGATCAACTTCTGTTTCAAACTGTTAAAGTGAAGTTGCAGGGAGTTGTAACTACTTTTGTGGTTGGTTTTAACAGGTATTTGAGGACAAGTTAGAAGGTATAATCTGCTATAGAGATGAGAATGGTGAGATGGTTTGTGAAGGATATGATGAGGGCCCTCGGTTTCCTCGACAGATTCCAACAACAACATATGATCCAAGGTAAAAAAAAGTACCCTGCTGTAAATAATATACTATAATTGTCTGTAATTCAAGTCTAATTATAGAATTTTGTGGATGTTTTGGACTGATTCAGGGATGCTGAGATAATGAACATTCTTCTACAGAGGTGGCTTGATATTGTTAACAATGGTGAATCAAGCAAAGCTGACAAAGGAGTTGCTGTGAAAGAAGACATCAATGGGAATGGCTTTAATTCATTCTACTAATCAATGCTTAACTGGACAACAATTCTTCAAATGTATTGAAATAACAGTGGTGCAGTATGTAAACAGATTTCCTCAAGACATAGGATGTGAATAGTGGAGCATAAAAGCACTGGTTTTATCTTTGAGGCACTTTCGTCCTTTGTAATGTTCTCTTTCAATGCCTTGCTGTAAATCAAAGAATTTGCAGACCATGTATAGGTAATTTACTCAACTATGAACACCAAAAGATTAATAATAAAGTGGCATTTAGAAAGTCTCAAATGAACTGTATTCTCATGTTTTACAGTAGACCAACATCTATCTGAGATTATCCACTAGGATAAGTTCATTGAAACATCGGCCTCAAACTATATAAATACTTGTGTTTTTCAGTTTCTTTTTAAAACGTCAGACTGAAGAATTGCATACTGATACTATCAACAAGGTAATCATATTCAAATCACAAGCAGTGCTGCCAACTCTTCCCCATATCAACCCAGAAAGATATGAAAATACAAAATCTCTGGAAATAACACCCAAGTAAAGAAGGAAAGAAAGAAGAGGTAGAGACAAGTTTTGCAATGAACAGAATTATCTATTATATTGAAATATATGACAAAAATTCATATAAATACAATGTACATGTGGGAATGCTACATACATGAATAAATCTTTGTACAAGGATTTCGTGGAGAGGTCATCAAATATTAAACCCCTGACAGAAATTTCTATGGCTCTAACAGCCTTGTTCTTCATCTCCTAGCAAGTAATAAGGAATTTCTCATTTTAATAAACATAACAATGAAATTTCTATCGAAAAAGAATCAAAATACGGAAAATCTATTATGGAAAAAACCATATGGAAGGATTGATTCTAAAATGACATACGGGATGCACAAGCACATTGAATCACCATTTCTTTCTAACAAGGTTTCATGTCTGTGTTCTCTTCACATAAATCATCCTGCGATTTACTAGGAATGATAGAAGGAGGGAACCATTGATCTGGAACCATCAAAAAGTAGGTAGTCATTGCTTTCCTGAACCGTTTTTTGTACTGCTTGGGTGAAATTACAGTTGGTGATGCGTTCTTTGGCCCGCCAAGGATACCCGAAGCCTTCACCCATGTTTCAAGGTGCTTATCCCATGTATACTGTCTCATGAAATCAATTATTCCAAGAACTAACTCATGCTTCTCTTCGTCCACCCCAACCAATAACGAATAGTCCATTACATCAACTGACTGCATAGACACAAGTAAACAAAGAATTAAAACAAATTACGATAACATACTCTTTCCCTGTCCATCAGCATACCCTGCCCCTTTAAGCCAACAAACAGAGATCCAAAACTTACCGCTAGAAAAGCAGTATCATTCCAGACCGCTCGCTCCAATAATCGCTTTGCCTTGTTTCCCACAAAAATGGGAGAGGTTGGCATTGCTTCAATCAAGTTCTGGTCTAGCAGCACTTTGTTGCTCCCACTAGAATCAGGATTATAACGTGACCGGGAAGATCCTTTGAGATCATAAAGCCGTGTTACACTCCTTGCAAACAAGAGATTTTCCATGACTAGAACATCCATCTTTAGTTCTTTCCCACCTTTCAGATGCTTTGAAGTAACCTTCCAAACATAAAACCAAAATGGACAAATAAGTCTCAAAAAGTTCAACAACAATAAAAAAAATGACCTGTTATTACTATTCTTCTAACCCCTTAATCTTTATTAAGCCATTTTCATTCAAAATAATTAGCAAGCAGTACGAGAAATTCAAATTAAGATGATGATAGATGCAGAATATTAAAAGGCAAGTCTAAACTTGAGTCACTTTCTTTAAGCTCCTATGTTTCCTTTTTCTTGACAAGATCTTTTCAGCCATACTATAATTGGTAATAAATATTATAAGTTGAAAAAAAACATGGACTATCGTCTACAACGGATTTCTGAGGTTTTCAGATCAAAGCTGCAGCAGTTGTCTAATGGAAGAATTTAAGTGGATACCTAACACCCTAAGCCACAGGACTAAACCAGAGCCCATACTGCCTGCTGAAAACTCTGTCATTGATGGCTGCAAAGGTAGGGCGCAGTCAAGAGATCAACAAAGTCCAAAGTGTTCAATGCTTCAGTGGTCACTCACATATATCACTTTGTCTTTAATAGTTAAACTTTTCCACTTTTACATCTCTAAACTATTTAGTCTGTTTCACTAATATGACTCTTGACAGAAATTAAGCAAGTGCCAAAAATAATAAAAGAAATTTCTTTTTTAACAAGAAAAATGGTCTAGTTTCTTTAGCACATTTATCCGGAAAGTGAAAACGATATAGATTTGAAGAAATCAGCTTTATATAATTTGTTTACGGTTGAACGGGCTTTGAAATTACTCCATTAGTTATTCAATGGATGACTAAGCATTTAAATTAATCCAGCACCAATATGATAAATTGTACTATACAGTTTTTATGTCCCCAAGTACTGGTACCTGATAAATCCCGAGAATCTTTGCCAGGCATGTTGGACTTCCAGTGCTAATTGATTCAGACAAATACTTGAAATATTCAGGGGCAAACTTTATAAATGACTCCAGCTCTGTCTTTGTCACTTGTTTGATGATGAAACGATCATCCAATGTTTTGGCAAAGAAAACATTACTCTTGCCACCCTGGGCACCCCACTTCTTACAACGGCTGAGAGACCTTATAAAATCAAGCTCAGATGGGCAACAAATCCTCCTTAATGCTTCAAATCGCTTTGCAAAGTAACAAGTTACAGAATATTTCACCATACCAAGTGGACCATCATCTTTAAAAGAAATTTTGGGATGGAAAACCTTTGTATCTGACAGTGGATCCAAAATCAGGGAGCTACGAGATCCAGACATGGATAAAATGCCATCATCTGCTGACCCAAAACTTCCATCAAAAGATTGGGACAACTGATGGTATACTGAATCAGATAAAGTAAATGAAGACATAAGATCCCCACCATCTTTGGGTCTTTCCCCATCATCAGCCAGTAGTCTGGCATGATATTGTGGTGATAGTAGAGCATATGATATAATACTTGTGGGCTCATCATCATAAATAGGAACTACAGTGTCATTAACACCCACAGGCAGAAGCAGCCTAGCCCCACACTGCAGCTCTGATTCTCGAAAGGACGTAACATAAACCGGATTATATTCACCCAGTGTATCAAGTTTCTGAGCACTTGTCAAAAAGTTCTTGTTTAATGAGCGGTAAAAGTTTAAGAATGGCATTCTTAACCAGCTTACAGAGTCATCTATATTATCAGGGACCTTGTTGGACAAGGCAGGTGAAAGAGAATAAGTAACCTTGGGCTCTCTATGGTCTTCCTTCTGGTCTTCCGAATCTAATCCTTCTGTCACTACAGGTACAGTAGAGGAGTCTACCATGGCTGAATCAGGAAGTACACAGGTATTATCCTTTGGTATTCCAACTGCTGGAGAGTTTTCACCAGTCCATTTAGCCTCTAGGGTATCTGACAAATTAGTAACTATAGGAAACTGCCCCTCAGAGAGGGCCCTACGTATATTTAACTCAGCTTCCAGGAAGTCAGATGGTTCACTGAAGCTTGCACTAGCATAAAAATTAGTTTGGTCTTCTTTTCCATGATCCAGATCTTGATCCTTGTTTGTCTCTTGAAGAACTCCATCTGATACGTTAGTGCCATTATCACATCCTTCTTCCTGAACCAAGCTCTTTTCAAGTTTTGTGTCAATGAGAAGAGAATCATGAAGACAAGAGTCTGTTTCAGGCTTGGTAGTCACATTCATCTCAGCAGGCTTCTCTCTGCTAGTCAGGACTTTCTCATCTTCTTCTGATACTTCACTGCTCAAACCATTCTGGAGGCTAGTTTTAACTAAATTGGCAGCATAAACTAGGCGGTGATCCCACATATAAGATTGGAAAAGTAACTGCCTCCTCAACCGATTGATCTCAAGAATGTCAATAAGAGGTTGGCCCTTTTTCATTTCCCTGTTCAAAGCTTTTTGGAGTGATTCCTAAATCAATGTCAAGAACAATCAGAAAATAATATGAAAAGCAGAAAATGAAATAAAATGTATATTTTCTATGTCTATTACAGAGATTCTCAAAGTATAGGAAAATGGTTGTACAAATCTAACCAGGGCCAAGGAACATATCCTAAAATAGGAAGCACCTAGTGGAAATCAATTGATCAAAAGATATTTGTATGACACATACGTGACTAAAAACGTTCCTAAGTGAATCATATAATAAAAGAGAAAAGAAGAATATCATCCAAACTTGCACATGATTAGCATAAGACAGTACAGTAAATTCATCTTCATGAGTATTCAGTTATTTGAGTGCTACATATATGCGATGGTCATGCATCAAGATTGAAGGGCATGAAACTTTGCTAAGGCAGAAAAAATCTGCTTCTAAAAGGGGTCTTACCTCAAATTCAGTCTTCTCCTTCTGTAACATTCCTTCAAGTTCTGCAGTTTGGCGTCTTGATTCAAGTGTTTTGATGCCATTATTAAGTGCCCCAACAATTTGACTCAAAGCATTAAGTACTTCAGAGAAAAGAAGCTTTGCTCGGTAAGCCACCTGTATATGATCAGATTATTAAATCACCCAAATGAAGTAAATTGAAAATGGCTTTTTAAGAAAACCAAAATTTTGATAATTGTACCTCATTTGCTTCTTTTTGTATCCAATCCTGATGATCATAGCTGAAATCAAGTTTGTGGGGTGGAAGGTAGACAGAATGAACATCAATTGATGCATACCGAAAACAAGCAACCATTTTTCCAAATCTGCAAATGGTCAAACAATGAGGAATATAAGAGAGATGGTCATATACAAATTTAGTAGCACAAATGAACTTCATCTTCCATTATTTTCTTTCCTCAGTTTGGTCCTTGTATAATTACAACAGCAAAATGAAATTCTCACTCAGGTTCCAAGAGATTCGTTAGCATCATCCAATCAAGTTTCAATACACACAAAAGGGTTAATTAACTTTAGCTGAACCAGCAAAAATTCAATTCTAGAAAAACAGTTCATAATACTCAAATTACTTAAGTAATTACCAATGTATAAGAGAGTTCAAGATAATTACCCATAAAAACGAAGACAATCTCTATGTAGAGAGTGGCCACAGCTTGCCACCCTGCTTGCAGCTGCATGGTTTGAAAAGCTCAGCTCCAAAAATTTTCCGAAAGATAGACCCCAGGCAGCATCAGACATCACCACTCTCCGAGTTGCTGGAGGAAAACCATTGGTC